TATTTTATCTTATTATTCATGACAAAAAATATAATAAATAAAAAAAAAAAGATAAAAAATTCATTCTGCATTTGCAATTGTGAATTTGGAATTACTGTTCGGGTTACTGTTTGGGTACTATTCATTTTTTTAAACAGCCGCACGATCTGCTCATCCAAGATCCAGCGGTTCACAGCCTTCAGACGCAGGAGTGCACCATACACTCGTCCACACCAGATCAAAACCCAGAGATTCTCTCTCCTCTCGCCGGCGATTCTCTCTCTCTCCACGGATCTCCCATTTCCGGCCGTCTCAAGCCGTTAAACCACCGCAGAATTGTGCATCGCCTCCCCCTGAGCAAAAACCCGGCCTTTTCACACTTTTTCACCGGCTAATTTGGCCGGAAAAAGGCCGTGACCGACATCGACCAAACGACCTTCAAGTCGTCGATTCTCCCTCCTCAGCCATCAACGGACAACGAGACCACCACCATCAGAATCCTCGTCCTCAGATCTACCAGAATCGACTATCTTTTTCCGGAAACTCGCCGGAAAATTTCGGCGTGAACAGTACCCGCGCGTGAACAGTAACAGCGCGTGAACAGCAACCGCGGGTCCAGTGGCATTTTCGTAAATTTTCGATAAATCCGAGGGTATTTCAGTCTTTTGCCTATACAGGGGTGCTCAGGTAATTTTTTATGATATTTTATTGTATTTTTTGATATTTTTATATATATAAATACTTGTAAATCCTTGCATAAAAAAAAAACAAAAGAAAACCAAAATAAATAACAACGCGGGTTTAACACACATTTTATCATATCACTGTTCATAGGTCAAAAACCCAATTTTCAAGAATTGATATATCTATTTGTGAATGATATCAAAATAATTTTTATTTTATAAAATAATTTTCTCGACACGTCTCTTTTATTTATAGAAAAGGACCGATGTCAAAAAAAATTAAATACCAAATATGGATTATGTCCATTATTATTTATTTGGTAAATTAGACGTAACTCTCCTTTTTAGGGATAAACGTCGATATTTTAGACAAAGTCTCCTAATTTTAGGGACTGATGTCATTTTTAACGCGTCTCCTATTTTTAGGGACCGACGTTAACCATGTTAAAAATTTTACAAATATGCTCAAAAATATAATAGCATTTGAATCAAAAATAAGAAAAACACACAAGTTAAAGGTACCCTTTCTCTGAAAGGATGTTTTAAGGGTGGTGTCTACCTTCCCTTAATCATAACTAACCCAGTACCCGAATCTCTGGGACCAGTGTCTAATTTTGGATTTCTAGTTCCCTCAAATTACTAGATGGCGACTCCAATAAAATCTTTATTTCCCCCAATCAAATAAAAATTAAATTCCTTTTGTTTTTAAAACAAAAAAAAAA